GGAAGTAGGTGGGAAGAGGTTTTTCTGCCTGTCCACCTCTCTGCCTATTCTTAAATATACATGTGTATAGTGCAGTGCCAGGTTCCAGGCAACTTCTGTCCTCAGATTTATTTACTAAGCCCCAGGAACTAAAGGTTTCTCAGTTCTCTCTCTTCAGCTCCAGATGTTTGGTTTCTTGCTGGTATTCTGTGTGGTATGTTACATCCTGCTTAGTGTTAGTACAGTGATCTAAATATATATTTGATTTCTGTCAGAACTGTAAATTATGTGAGGTTATAAGTCACCATTGAAAGGAACTTTGCAATCTGATTAATAGTGTCTTTTTTTTTTTTTTCCGGTCTTTTTGAGACAGGGCCTCCTGTAGCCCCAGCTGTCCTGGAACTCAGTATGTAGACCAGGCTGGCCTTGAACTCACAGAGATCCGCCTGCCTCTGCCTCTTGAGTGCTGGGATTAAAGGCGTGCGCCACCATGCCCGGCTAATAGTGTCTTTTAATGTTTGATATCTTTCTCCAGGATTGTGTGTAAATAAAATTGATTTTTAACAACTCAGATGTATTATCTGACAAGGTAAGGATGTGATTAAGTATAAGTATTGTGTTAGGTGACCCTGTCTTTTTCTCCACTGTCTTCCTGATACCTAGAATTGTGCCTGAGTAGTAGGTCCTCAGTAATTTAATGACTAAATACACAATCACTGTGAAGAATAGAAGACTTAGGAAGGCTGGACTTTACACTTAGATAACAGACTTTTTTGGAGGACTATCTCATGTTGTTGATTAGGTACTGGGAATACAAAGATCAAGGTCTGGTGCACATCTTCATTTGTTTTATCTACTCAATACACATTCATTGAGGCTTGGTATTTTGTGCTGTGGCACTGTGCTAGGACAGGATTGTGTAAGTGAGTAGTCATGGCTCCAGTCTTCACATTGCTTAAAGTTTGTGAGAGACAGGCAGCAGAAGGAGATGGAACTGGACACTGAGATGCAAGAGCTATAAACTAGTCGTGGGTTTGTTTTGAGACAGGGCCTCAAGCTGTAGCCCAGGCTGACTTGGAATTCAGTATGTAACTAAGGCTGGCTTTGAATTTGAGTGATCTTTCTGTCTTAGCTTTCTGAGTGCTCCCCAATTATAGGTGTGTGTCACCGCACCGATTACATGTGGTGCTGGGGATTGAACTCAGGGCTTTGTATATGCTATGTACACCTTCTGCCAATTTTCCTGTGTCTCCAGCTCTGTTTTTTTCTTTTTTGTTTACTATTCTTATAATGTCAGAGTAATCATCTCTCTGGTACCTAAAAGGCTTTGCGTTGGCCTGGAATGTAGTTGGAAGACTGACAAGCAGATAATGAAGCTGTAATTTGTAAACTGCCCTGACAGCTTCCTGTACCATGGCAGGATAGTTTAGGGAAACAGGCTTAGTTGAAGTGCAGAGTCACCCCACAGAGTGGTGGAGACACTAAATGAAGAAATGTACATCCAGCCTTAAATGTGTGTCCTTAGTCCTGCGGCTTCATCTCTGTAGGCCTAGAGCTCTTGATCTGCAGATGAGAGGGAGGTGTCTGAGATGTGCCAAGCCCTCTGAACCCTCAGCCAGACATTCCTGCCTTTTCTGTTCTGCATGTTGAACTTCTCCAAAAGTTTTTGTTTAAAAAGCGAATTCCTTGGCTAAAAAAAGTTTGAAAGTCTGTGGACTATGTGGTTTCCTAAATCCTTCTATATTATTACTTCTGATGTTCCATGCATATTCAATTAATATGCTACCAAGATCTTTTCCTTTTGAGATGAAGGTCACACAGAGGGTCTTAGGTGATTTGAGTTCATAATCTGAGTTTCAATTCTTTAAAATTTATTTATTTGTTTTTATTTTATTATGTGTATGAGTGTTTTGCCTATAGATAATGTAACTGCACCCATATGTGCAATGCCCATGGAGACCAGGAACTGGAGTTACAAATGGTTGTTAGCTGCCATGTGCGTGCTGGGAACTGAACCCAGATCTGCTGGAAGAACAGCCAGCGCTCTTAAGCGATGAGCCATCTCTCCAGACCCTCCGGGTTTCAGTTCTTTTGCAATGACCTTCTTCTCAGTGATTTTTCTGTGGCAGAACCTCAGCTGCATCTTGAGGAAGCCTAACTAGCGTTTTCTGAAGGCCTGTGGAGAGTCACATGCTTTGTGTTGTTTTGACGTTTTTATTTCTTGACATTTCCACCTGTCATCACTGGAGTATTTATGTGGAGACTCACTGGAATGGTTTGAGAATCTCTCCCTAAATACTGTTTGTTCCATCTTTTCCCCCTTTTCTTTGTTCATAGTAGAATCTGTTGTGGAAATAATTCTGATCTTAGTGAGCAACAAGGACTATTTTCACTTAGCTCTTGCCAGGAAGGAAAATGGAAAAGATTGCATGGGCAGTTATGCTAAATAAGCATTTAGTAGATGACCTTATAAATTGCTTAATCCCTTTGCACCCTGGTTTCCACTTCTGTAAAGTAGGTATCTGAACACGTCCCCTAGAACTTCTTATGAGAGTTAAGAGATGTAGACGACCTGCAGCTTCTCTTGGTGTGCATTTCTGGTAATTAGCCTCTCCCTTCCTTTTCCTGTGCAGTTTAAGTCCTTTCTGCTTTTGAGCCTTCCCCTCTTCCTCATTTCTCTCTTCCCTACCAATATTTGTTGGACATCTGCTGTATGCCGGGCATTGCAATAGCTGCTGGGGATATGGCAGTGAATTCTGCAAATTGCCTTGTTCAGGGAGTGTGCATGCTGTCTGTCTCTTCACTAAGATGCTATTACCACGAGGAATTTACCATGAAGAACTAGATCCTGGAATATATAAAGAACTTTTAGAACTCAGTAATAAGAAGAACGCTTTTTAAAAATGGGTGAAGGACTTGAATAGCTATGTTCTCAGAGATGATCTGTGAATGGCTAATGAACAAGTGACAAGATGTCAGCATTCGTGTCCTGAGGGAAACAGAAATAAAGTCACAGTGAAATAGCATCACATGACTGGGATGACCATAATCAGACAGACAGACGATAATGAGTATTTGTGAGATGTGAAGAAATGAGAATCCTCATGTACTGTTAATGGAACTCTGATGATATAGCTACTTTGGAAAATTAGGCTGGCAGTTCCTTAAAATGCTAAACACGAGTTACAGTATGATCCAGTAGAAAAGATACTCATACAGAAATTTGTACATGCATGTTCATAGCAGCATTGTTGCAATAGCCACAAGAAGGAGATGATCCAGCTGTCTATCAGCTGATGAATAGGGACAGTGTAGTATATCCAGAAAATGGAACATTATTTGGCATAAAAAGAATGGCGTAGTTATACACACATGGATGGAGGAGTGAGTTGCAGAATACCACATAACACATGAGCTTGTTTATCTGAGTGTCCTACACAGGCGAAGCTGTACAGGCAGAAGTAGATGGGGGCTTGCTTAGGGCTGAAGAGGGAGGCAACAGGGCAGTGACTGTGAAGCCACTGATGCTTCTTCACAGAATGACAAATGTTCTAGAGGTGGTTGCACAACTCTAAATAGACTAAAGACTACTGGGTTTTACTAAAGGGTTGAATTTTATGCTATATAAATTACTTCAGTAAAGTGTAAATTTCATTTGTCTTTTCTAGTATGTACAACCCATTCATGAGTTCTCAGCATATGAAGGAAACAGGATGCAATCCAAACCTCTGTGGGCTCCCTCAATACTGCCATCCGGTGTTGTTTTCTTCCTTTCTTTAACTGTCTAAGAAACTTAGACGGGACTCCTTTGGGGCTGAAGAGATGGCTCACCAGTTAAGAGCACTGGCTGCTTTTTCAGAAGAACTGAGTTTGTTCTCAGCACCCATATCAGGTGGCTCACAACCACCTGTAACTCCAGCTCCAGGGTATCCAACACCGTGTTCCTGCCTCCAGGGGCATCTGCACTCTTGTGCACACCCCTCCCCCACATACACAAACAAAAAATAAGTCTAGAAAAGAGTCCTTAGAGTTGTAAAATTAGAAACCTAGAAATAGTTCATTGTAGAAAAATTATAATTTGAAGACTTTGAACATTTTAATCTTACACTACCCACAGGTAGTAGTTATTAATGTTCGTACATTTTAGGGTTAAAAATTGACATCTGTGTTTTTACTTCCAAAGAAGAAAACTGTTATAAAGAAAAGCTTGCTACTACACTTGGTATACATTGAATATTTTTTATTTTTTAAAAATATTATTTTTATTTTATGTGTATGAGTGTGTTGCCTGTATGTTTATAAGTGCACCTGTGTTATACAATGCCTGAAGAGGTCAGAAGAAGGTGTTGGATTCCCCTGAACTGGAGTTATGGATGGTTGTTAGCTGCCGTGTGGGTGCTTGGAACTGAACCTGGGTCCTCTGCAAGAGCAGCCAGTGCTCTTAACTGCTAAGCCATCTCTCCAGCCCCTATATCAAGTATGTTTTGAGTGATATACCTTCTCTCCTGACAGAGAGCAAGGTGGGGTTTTTTTCCTTTCCATTTTGGATACAGGAACTCATTGTGTGGCTCAGGTTGGACTTAGTCTCATGGTTCTCACCTCCATTTCTCAAGTGCTGGGATTAAAGACGTATCCCACTGTGCATGATTTGACTTTTTAACTTCTAGGAATTATCTAACTTGGATTTGAGGTTAGTAAAACCTGGCATTGGAAATGTTCACACTCATTAGACTGTAGTTGGAATGCATGAAACCCTGTGGCCTTTTGGGCTACATTTGTCATGTGCTCAAGCCACACCCCAATATCACAACAGAATTTCATTCTTAAATATTTTAGGATGTGTTAAGGCAACATGGCCTATGAAATAAAAATTTCATGGATTCCGCCAATTGGTTTCTGTGGACCGCTCAAGATGTCTGGCTGATACCGGCTGTAAATTGGGATGCACCTAGGATGGTTTTCTGCTTTAGAAGTCCTATGGAGCTAATTTCACTGATCTTTTCTCCCTCTTACATGTGCAGAATTAGACTGGCTCAGCAACCCAAGCTTTTGTGTTGGCAACTTAACATCACTGAGCCAACAAACTGAAGAGGCCCCAGCCCTTGCTTCTGGAGGGTCACCGCTGAAAAGGTACTTGCTTGACAGGTGGATTTTAGCCTCTGTGTACTGTGGGTAGCTTAGCGTCAGTGATGCTCCATAGACAACTCTGTGATGAAAGAGCTAAGTAGCTCTTCCTTTTGCTAACAGCAACCAGGTGGTCTGTGATCCTCTTCCTTGATTTCACTCCTATGGATTATTCCTTTTTTGTCTCTGTATAGCAGTGGCAAAAGTACATGACACAGTGTCTGTAATTAGGCCATGAGGGACGTGGCATCATTGTGTTTCTCCAGTAACTTCATTAACCGCATTAGTGACCTTTCTGGTATTGTTAATTTAGGTATTTCTTTAGTTGCATTGTTAACACTTAGGTAAAAATAACTGATGTAAGATAACAGAGGATAAAATCTCCTAAGATCGTTGGGGAAAACAAAATGACACATATCTTTACCTAGCTGCGAAAGAATGTTTTGTAGATCATTGGACTGAGCAGTGTATTCACAAACATAGACTACATGGTTTTATTAATATGGTGAAAACCCCATACTCTAAATACACAGGAAGCCTTTGGAAATTGACAGTAAGCGACAACCAAGGGGGAGTTTGTAGATGTTCCAGTTCCGAGGAAAAGAAGCTCATTGTCACTGTTACCTTTAAAGACAAGGACCATAACCGCAGTGAAACCTTTTCTACTAGGACATGTTGTTTGGGATAATAATAAACTTCTAGTAATGTTGCCAAACAGTAGTTTATTTGCTAAAACAACTGGTAGGTTTAGGAATTAAGAAAATAATTTCTGGGCTGGAGAGATGGCTCAGCAGTTAAGAACACTGACTGCTCTTGCAGAGGATCCGGGTTTGATTCCCAGCACCCACATGGCGGCTATGAACCATCCTTAACTCCAGTTCCATGGGAGTCCAAAGCCCTCTTCTGACCTCTGCCATATTGCACAACACAGGTGCACTCACATACATGCAGGCAATATACTCATACACATAAAAAAAATAAAAATAAATAAAATATTAAAAAAAAAGAAAGAAAATAATTTCTGACCCTGTTTTTATTTTGGGTGCAATCCTTAAGATGAATTTAATCTAGGAAGGTACTGTGTAGTATGTGGGCAAGTAGAAAGTTTATGTGAGCGTTTATAGAACTCCCACATACTTAATTGTATATTATTTATTTACAAGTTATTGTCTCCAGTCTTTTTTTTGAAAATAGTCTTAAAGTTGGTTTTCCCAACAGGAGTCCTCTACAATCAGAGCTCTCCGATGATAGTGACTCTAGCAAGAAGCTCACACAGATAAGCAGAAAAAAGAAGAAAGAGAGAAAGAAAAAAAGGAAGCATCAGCACCGGAAGAAAACAAAAAAGAAACACGAGCAGTCCAGTACTACTGGGTCTGAGTCGGATTCGGATTTGGGAAAGGACAGGTCTTCCAGAACCCTCGGTAGTCAGAAGGAATCTGAGAAACCCAAGTGGGTCTATGTCCACCACACTAGTGGTGTTTTAAATGTGAATGGTTCTCTCTTTATTGTTGCCATGTGTTGAACATTTGAATGATTTTAGCCAGTCGATCAAAAGAGAAGTCTGCTGTGTAGCAGAGTAGTCCTGAACATCGGATCCTCCTGTCTCCGTGTCTTAAGTGTTGGATTACAGGTGTGAGCCACCATACTCGGTCTGATTTGGGATTCTGAAAGATGGCACATGTTCCATGTCATGGGATGTGAATCTGTGCCTTGGTAGCAGACCGATCCACACTTACAGAGAGGAACAGACACATCTTCCTCGTTGCCTTGGTGTGGTGTTAGGTAACTCCTGTACACACTTGTACACATGCTTTTTTCTTGCTTAAAGTTAATGCAGCTCTTAAATAACGGCTTTTGTTCTTTTCCTTTGCTTATTTCTCATGTCTTTGGACCTACTGGATTGAGTTCCCTTTCCTTCTTCCCATATCTCATTCTGCCATCTACCTTGAACAGAGTGCTTAAGTTATTCCCAGAAGGTCTCAGCGGAGCATTTCCTTTCTGCTGAGTTGGACATCCTGCTGCATAGAATGGAAAGTTAGCAGGTGTAGATGGCTTGTGGTAGAGCTACCTGCATTAGTTACACACGTTGTTGCTGTGATAAAATACCCTGACAAAAGCAGCTAAAGGGAGGAAAAGTTTATTTACAGTGCAGAGACTTCACTGTGCAGGAGCTGGAGGCAGCTGCTTACATTGTGTCTGAGGTCAGGAAGCCAAGGGCCTGAAGTGACTGCTCTGTTCCCTTCCACTGTTTAGTCTGCCAGGACCGGGCCTATGCTTGGTACAGTCCCTTTGAGGGTGGGTCTTCCCACCTCAGTTAGCCTAATAAAGAAATGTCTCACAGGCATGCCTAGGGGCTTTGCCTCCTTGGTGATTCTAGATCCTGTTATATTGATAATCAGTATTTTTCTTTATTAAATTTTTTGGATTTATTTTTATTTTATGTGTATGAGTGTCTTGTCTGCATGTATCTAAGTGTACCCATGTCATGTAGTGCCTAGATGAAGGCAGAAGAGGGCATCAGATCTCCTGGAACTGGAGTTATGGGTGATTATTAGCAATCATGTGGGTGCTGGGAACCAAACCTAGGTCCTCAGAAGAGCAGCCAGTGCTCTTAACCACTGAGCCAGCTCTCCAGCCCCAACAGTCAGTATTAGCCATAACACTACCTAAATTCTATCTTAACCTTTTTCTTTTCTTTGCTTCAGTGTTTTGGAAGATAGAACATTTAAATACATGTCCAAGGCATACAGAAAAAAGTAGTGCTATTGAGATTTTTGCCTCTCTTCAGGGATTATTTACTTTGTTGTGTGCTTGGGAGTCTGGTTGATGTCAAGAGAACTCAGTGCTTGAGCAGGTCTGGAGCCTGGCCCTCTGTTTCCATCAGAGGCAAACAGTAGTCTTCCGGGATCCCAGCAGTGGCATCTGATGCATGGGAAGAGTGCAGGCCTCTGTGGCTCAGAAGAGATTTATTTAGCATTGTGTATCTCAGGGACCATGCCTGTGACCTGTGCTTGTTTGCAGGAGGGAAATGACGTTTGGTCAAAGGCTCATAATTAGACTGAGCTCAGGAGGCAGGGGTCATGGGTGCCTTGCTTACTACTGTTCTCTGGCTCTCATCCCTTGATGTAGGGCCTGATATGGGATATTTTTGCTATATGAATTATTGAATATGTTGTTGATATTCTAATTTTTTTGTGTGTGAATTGTGTGCAGGTGTGCATGTATGTGTGAGGCCAGAGGTCATATTGAGTGTTCTTCAGGTGTCATCCATCTTGGGTTTTAAAAATTAATTAATTCATTTTTATTTTATGTGTATGAGTGTTTTGCCTGTGTGTAAGTGCAGCATGTATGTGCAGTACCCACAGAGGCCAGAAGAGGGCATCAGATTCCCTTGGAACTGGAGTTACTGGCAGTTGTTAGCTGCCATGTGGGTGCTGGGAACTGAACCCGAGTCAGCCATTGCTCTTAACTGCTGAATCATCTCTTTAAGCCCTCTCTCCCCCTTTTAAAGATAGGGTCTTGTACCAGCCTGGAGCATGTCAAGTAGTCAAGACTAGGCAAGCCTGCCACCGAGATCCAGGGATCCATTTCTGCCTGTGTTTTCTTCCCCAGTGCTGGGATTTTAAATGTATGCCATCATGCCCAACTTTTTAACCTGGGTTGTGGGAGTTGAACTCAGGTTCTCATGCTTACATGACAAGCATTTTACTGGGCTAACCCCCCCTCCCCAATTTACTTTTTAAAGGTCTTTAAACTTGAATGTCTTTAAAATAAGCGACTTTGTTGCAACTTCTGAAAATGATGATGATGATGATTATCATTAGAGACAGGGTCTCCCTATAGCTCCAGCTGTCCTGAAACTCACTGTGTAGACCAGGCTGACCTTGATCTCACAGAGGTCCACCTGCCTCTGCTTTCTGAGAAGCCCAGCTCAGCTTCTGAAAACTTTTATTTATATCTCCCTTCCTACAGCTGAGGGAAGAGTTTGAAAGATTGTTAACTTCATCCTTTGATTAGCCATGTCAGAGAGGATCTTTCTGACCTTTGAGACTGGATCTCATGTAGCCCAGGCTGACTTGAAGTCCTGCCTCCACTTCCCCAGTGCTGGGATTATAGGCATATACCACCACATCCAGCTTCAGTCTCTTAATAGTGTTTGGTCCAGATGGCCTTTTATTGTTGGGGCGTGTGTGTGTGTGTGTGTGTGTGTGTGTGTGCGCGCGCGCGCGCGCAGGCTGGAGGTCGATATCTGGTGTCTTTATCACCTTCCCTCCTATCTTTTGAGACAGGGTTTCTCACTGACCCTGGAGCTCACCGATTGGCTAGACTGGCTTGCTAGGGAGCTCCACAGATCTTTCTGTTTCCACCTCTGAGTGCTGGACTTACAGTCCATGCTGCTGGCTGTGCTGGCTTTTTATGTTGGTGCTGGCCATCTGAGCTCAGGTTCTTAGGCTTGCCCAGGAAGTACTTTATATACTGAGCCATCTTCATTCCTAGATAAGGAATTTTATCTATTCCCTAGGTAAGATTTTTTTTTTTAGATTACTTTAGTAAACTTTACTAAGATAAAATAGATTGTTTTAAACTTTCTTTTTTGTTTTCTCACTAACTTCTTTAATCTCTGTGGAGAAGTTGACTTGGCAGAAGTGTTTGTTTCCACATAGCAGGGTCTCAGATTTTAGTGATTTGTGAATATCTTTCCACATGTCAGGAAAATGGGTTCATGGAGGGTAGCATACTTTATGGGATTCTCCTTCAGGGGATTGAGGGACAAATTCCCCAGACAGCCACTAATTGACCTGTTTCCTGGGATGAGTTCTTCACCACAAAGTAGAGGCAGCTCCTCTGTACACACTACTGAGACCACATCCGGCTTCCTGACCTTGGTGCTCAGTAGGGAAGAGACGGGCGCTTGTTTCCCCCTTGGAGGTGGTCTGCAGCTGGGTTCATTCCTCTCTGGGTGCATTGTTCTCTCCAGTGGAGTCTCCCTCCTTTTGTTGCCTCTTCTGTTCTGTAGAGAAACCCACAGTTCTTTAGGCAGCTGCATCTAAATCATTGTTTTTATTTTGCATGTATGAGTGTTTTGCCTGCATGTATGTAAGTGTATCACATATATACAGTGCTTGTGGAAGCCAGAAGAGGCCTCTGGATCTCCTGGAACTGCAGTTATGGGCAGTTGTGAGCTGCCATGTGGGTGCTAGAACTGAACCTGGATCCTCTGCAAGAGCAATAAGTGATCTCTCTTAACTGCTGAGCCGTCTCTCCAGCCCCATCACTATATATTTTAATACAAGGCTTGCCATTCAACAAATACTGAGTAGCTATTTTGTGTCCCTGAAATACTATTTTATTCCCTACCAAGAATTATTTAGAAGTTTTCAGAATCTTTAGTTCTGTCTGGGCAGATCTACAAAACAAAGATGGAGCAACAGTTATGGCTGTTTTGACTGCTGCGGCAGCTTCTTGTGTCAGCAGCATTATGGTTAACTTCTTCAGAGAAAGGAAGATGCCAGAGGCCAGAAGACCTTCCTTCCCTCTCACTCAACTCCTAAGAGGTAGTTCCTTTTATTTGTATCTGAGCCAAACATTTGCCATTCCACACATTGACTTCAAGAGGTCAATAAGGGTCTTGTCTTAGCTTTATAATTCTGCCCTTTCTGTGGGAGGTCCAGACAGTATACATCCCAGATGATGTATACTGTCTGGGATGAGACCATGCCATAGTGACATTGGAGACACAGAAATTCAGAATTATGGCATATTACTTATTTTTTTGATTTAAAAATTTTATGTGTATGAGTATTTTTGCCTGCATCTATGTAAATGCATTGGTGTGTGCAGTGCCTGTGGAGGCCAGAAGAAGGCATTGGATCCCCTGGAACTGGAGTTATAGAGGTTGTTAGCTGCCATGTGAGTGCTAGGACCCTAACCCAGGTATTCTGCAAGAGCAGACAGTGCTCTTAACTGCTGAGCCACCTCTCCAGTCCACCCCCTCTCCCCATTTTAAAACAGTACTCAGTTGGCATAAAACATTTGAGGCTTTTAAAATAAGTTAGGGAAAGTAAGATGGCCCACTTTAATGTGTTTCTCACCATTTGATATGTGGCTTTTCCCTCTGCTTTGTGCTCTAAAGTGTTTTGGAGCAGAAATATTTCTTTCCTAAACAGTCTTGTTTATAATACATTTGAAATTGTACTTATAGGCATTTAAGTGAATATTATATTTATTGTGGTTCTGGACCCTGGGCCTCATGCATAGTAGGCATGTACATTACTACCACTGAGCTATGTAGCCTGTGCTTTTGTTTTTTTTTTTTTTTGAGACAGGGTCTCATTAAACTACCCAGGGAGGCTTTGAACTTTTGATCTCCTGGCACTGTCTCCTGAGTAGCTGGGATTATAGGTCTATGCCACCAGTCCTGGCTTAAACAAAATATTTAAAAAGAATGCCTATATCCTTCAGGTTAATTTCTGGGATGACTTCTTTTCTTGGTAAAGTGTCATTTAGTGGTTGTAGGTTTTGCTTATTTTAAAAGCTTTTTCTGGTGGCAAAGGCCCTCTCTATTGTATGTGTGATTATATATGTACTGGGTGTGTTTGATGCCATGCGGGGTATGCTGGTCATCAGATTGGCCTGTGGCCATGTTTGTGGGTCATTTTCTAGATTGCTAATTGATGTAGGAAGTCCCAGCTCACTGTGAGTGGTGCCATTCCTGGGCAGGTGGGCCTGGCCTATATAAGAAACATAGCTAAGCAAGCCAGGGGAGCAAGCCAGTCAGCAGCATTCCTCTGTGGTCTCTGCTTCAGTTCCTACCTCCTGGTTCCCCCCTTGAGTTCCTGCCTTGACTTCCCTCAGTCATGGATTGAGCTGGGAGTTGTAAGATGAAATAAACTGTTTCCTCACCAGGTTGTTTTTGGTAATGATGTTTATCACAGCAACTCAAAACTAGAATGTGGGGTTTGAAAGGTTTAACGTTCATATTTCTGGAAATGCTCAAAATGTTGCTGCAGTGTTTTTGAAGTTCCTGTCCCTTTCTCTTTGTCCAGCAGTCAAGGACATAATGCTGCTGCTGATACAGGACATTGCTCCATTTGGTTGGAAGACATTCAGAGTTTGACAGGAGAAGTCTTCAGAACAGATAAAAAACCAGATCCTGCCAACTGGGAGTACAAGTCTCTGTACCGAGGGGATATCGCAAGGTAATATTATAGTAAGCCCTGTTTTTTTTTGCTTTGGAAGTAACGTCTTTCTTTGAATTCTCTCAGCACTGTCTGTCTGTCTGTCTCATAGATTCTGCTGAGTTTTGCCTGTTGTTGAGTTGTGAAGGCACATGTCTCTTCTATATTCTGAAATGAAAGCGGAAGCCGGGAGGTGAGGTTGGGTTAATTTTATCCCTGGTGCAAAGCATAGCGTAGTGCCTGACAGAGTAGGTGTTCAGTAAGTGTTTGTTGAATGAATGAATCTAAAAAACCTTATAATAATTAATTGCAGCAGAGTATCTGGACACCATTTGGTGTAATCTATATGCCATTTTAAAAAGTGGCAAGAGCATTTTTATTTATCCAGCCCCACACATATGCCTTTTAAAAAATGACATTTGATGATAATGACTTTTTCAAATTATTTCTAGCTTATATCACCGTAGGATCATAAAAATAGGTGGTGGTAGCCGGGCATGGTGGCGCATGCCTTTAATCCCAGCACTCGGGAGGCAGAGGCAGGTGGATCTCTGTGAGTTCAAGGCCAGCCTGATCTACATAGTGAGTTCCAGGACAGCTGGGGCTACAGGGAAGACCCTGTCTCAAAAAGACCAAAACAAACAAACAAACAAACAAACAAAACATGTATTGGTTTGGGAACTTGTCTCTTTTGGCAGCATATGGCTCCTTTGATGACAGCATTATCACCCGTTTTCCGTGGTTCAAACTCATGCCTCCCTGTCAACATACCCTGGAATTTGAACTTTTCCCCTACAATCTGTCAATCAAAAATATTTGAAAAAATGTGTGGGGTGGCTCATTCCTGTAGCCCCAGCTACTTGTAAGACTGAAGTAGGATTGTCAATTTGAGGTAATCCTAGGCAACTTAGTTTGACTCCCCCATCTCAAACAATAATGGTAACAAAAACAAAATGTGAGTTTTTACTGAACTCCTATAGATGTTTAGTATTTTGCAGGTAACTTAGAATATAAAGGACAGTAAAACATGACTTGTTCCCAGCTTACAGTCTTGAAAATCAAAGGTTGAGGACCATGGGATTTAAGGCATCATTATTCTTTTTTGTTTGTTGGTTTCTGCTTTAAGTTCCCCTATTTAGCTCAGGCTGGCTTCAGATTGACTGTGTAGCCCAGGCTGAACTCCTGCCTGAGTTTGGAAAGTATTAGGGCTACAGAAGTGTATCACCACGCCTGGCTGAGATTGTTCTTTTTAGGCCACTGATCAATTTCAGTTTCCAGTGCCTCACTGCACCTCTACTGGTTCATCCTGAAGGATCTTCACCGTGGAAACACTCCCAACTGAACTGTCCTTCATGAGGAATTTGTCTCAGTTGTTTCCAGTGCAAATGTAGCCCACATGCTGTTGTCTAAAACCTCATGGCTGAGAATAAATAATCCAACTATTTAAAATGTATTCATGTATTTTTGGATTATTTCTTCATCCTCCAGATGAAGACACTGAGGCACAAATGGTGCTGTGGTTTGAGTATAGTTTGTCCCATCACAATCACTGATTAGTCCTCAAAGACTTAAATTTTTCTTTTCTGTTGTAGGCCTGCCTAGGGATTAACCTAGGGCCCTTGACCTGCTAGGCAGGTTCTCCATCACTGAGTCACATCCCCAGCTGTTTTGTTACTTTCTTGGTTTTTTGAAATGGGTCTTGTTTTCTAGACCAGGCTGGTCTAGAACTCACTGTATAGTTTAGGCCGGCTTTAGACTTAATCCTCCTACCTCAGTCTCCCAAGTAGTTGGTATTACAGACTTGAACCACCAGGCTCAAATCCGAAAGTCTTATATTAAAGACATTAAAAAGATGGAAAGCTAATCTGACAATGGTGTTTAGGGATAGGACTTTGTGGGGAGGTGATTAAATTAGATTATAGGGTAGAGCCCTTAGTAGGATTGAATCCCTGGGACTTTATAAAGAGAAAGGGAGAGACCAAATCACAGCACATGATACGGTATAATCAAAGGGGGCCTGAAGCAGTGTGCAGCATCCTGATTGTTTGGGCTCTGGCCTCCAAAACTGTGAGCCAAAATAAACCTCTTTTCTTTGTGAAGTAGTCTGGCCTCATACTATCACAGCATTGTGACAGTCATGCAAAGCTGACTGATACGGACAAATTTAGTGATTTGATAAGTTTACCCAGGCAGTCAGTGATGGAGTCATTGTGAGGGCTGGTGGAAGTGGAGGCCACCGAAGGAAAAGCAGATGTAGTTGCCTGGCCTGCTCACTCTGGGCATGAGTAGGTTCAGACAGTGTGCTTCATTTAACGTGTTTGCCGTCTTCCTTTTCTTCTTGCACCCTTACCTCTCTTTTCATTGATTTGATTTGAGATGAATTTGTTTAGATTAAGGGTCCATATAATGTCATTCATTGAAATTCCAAAGGTCCCTGCCTCTGGAATTCAAGTGGAGGCCAGTAGATTATCAGATAAGGATTTTATAGGAAAACTGCCTTCATTTAGGGAAATACTGCATTAAATTAGATTCCAGGTCCTCTTTATTAAGATTTTAGAACAAGTGATAAAGTAGATATACTAATAGGGTAGAGGAGTATGGAAAGAGTTAAATTATGACACACCCATACAGTGGAATGGTTTGAAACCCACAGAAATTATATTGGGGCTGGCAAGATAGCTCAGCAGGTAGAGATGCTTGCCACAGAGTCTGACAACCTGTTAGATCCCCAGGACTTACCTGGTGGGAGGAGAGAACTGCCTTCCATATGTCCTCTGACCTCCACGTGTGCCCATGCACATACACACTAAATAAATGTGATTTTAAAAATTATAGTCTTTAAAACTAATTGTATAGAGAATGCTTGAAAGTAATGAGGAAGGCTTGAAGCTATATGATAACTATTTTTAAAAGGTTGTAAGGCCAGGCGTGGTGGTGCACACCTTTAATCCGAGCACTTGGGAGGCAGAGGCAGGTGGATCTCCATGAGTCTGAGGCCAGCCTGGTCTCCACAGGGCCACAGGGAATCCAGGTCAGCTGTGGCTACAGGGAGATCCTGCCTCAAAAAGACCAAAAGAAAAAAAGGTTGTAAGGTGCTAGAGAGACGGTTCAGCAGTTAAGAGCACCAGCTGCTCTTGCAGAGGACCCAGGCTCAGTTCCCAGCACTTCCATGGCAACTAACCATCCAAAACTCCAGTTCTGAGGTCCGAAACTCTTCTGGCCTCTGCAGGCATTGCATGACACAGGTACACTTACACGCAGGCAGAGCACTCATACACATTATCTAACAATAAATAAAAATTTTAAAGAAGGTTTTATGTGTGTAGATATGGCTGTATCCAGAAGCGTGTGTCTGAACTAGTGATGTAAGCCAGTAGGATTCCTGTTCTCTCTTCACACCTTCATTTACTTTGCTATAGGAAATGCCACGGTTACTTTTAAATTAAATCAGAAAACCCAGTAACATTTAAAAATACTATGTGAATATTTTAAATACTATGCATCTTTAATCAGTTAAAATAATATTAGGAAGCAAGACATGATGTTGCATGCCTGTAATCCCAGTACTCAGGAGGCTGAAGCAGGAGGCTTACAAGTTGCAGGCTAGCTTCACCTACATGGCCAAATTTAGGCCAGCCTGGGCTACATGGTAAGATCCTGTCTCAAAAGAAAAAAAAAGTAGGAGACAGAATTAGCTTTTTACTTGTAGTCTGTTCCTTAGAGTACTAGAGGCTTATTTTGAGTGTCCTTAGCACTGTTTTGTCTCATCACATCTTCATTATGCTTGTGGTGCTGAGGGTCTTCTTGCACATGCTCAGTACACACTACCACAGAGGCGCATTCCATGCCCTGTGATAGAGTGAGGCAATCTAGGAAGAATTGAGAGGAGGATAGAGAAGGAATTTACTTTCTCTTTTCTGATGCTATAACAAAAATCCCTGTGTCTACATAGTTGAGGGCAGAAGTTTATTTAGTCTACATTTGGAGACCAGGAAGTTCCAGAGTGTGGTACTGGCACCTGCCTTGTACCTGGTGAAGGACTTCTTGCTGCATCATAATGTGGAGAGGGGATTACCGGGGGAGACCGGGCAAGGTCAGCTCATGTCTCTCTTCCTTGCTTCTAAAGCCGCCACTACTGCATGGTGTCTCTACCTTGATGAACTTATCTAATTCCTCTCCCAAAGGCCCACTTCTAATCCCAGCAACATAGGGGTTTGGGGAGCATGTTTAAATATGAGTTTCTAAGAGGACATCACAAAAATATCTGAGAAAACCAATTTAAAGAGAGATTTCTTAGCTAGTGCACACCTTTAATCCCAGCACTAGGGAGGCGGATCTCTGTGAGTTCAAGGCCAGCCAGGTCTCTATAGCGAATCCAGGCCAGCTGTGGCTATAAGGAGACCCTGTCTCAAAAAGACCGAGGGGAAATAAAAGAGAGGGATTTCTTTTGTCTCATGGTTTCCGAGGTGCCACTTCCATAGCACATCACAGTGGTGAAGGCATGGTGGGACAGCAGTTCAGTCATTGTGGCCCAGAAGCAGAGAGAGAACACTTGTTTTTTAAAAATTTTTATTTATTATTATTTTTATTTTACGTGCATGCTTGTATTGCCTGCATGTAGGTAAGTGCACCCGTGTCATGCAGTGCCCTCAGAGGTCAGAAGAGGCTGTCGGATCCCCTGGGACTGGAGTTACGGACAGTTGTTAGCTGCCATGTGGGTGCTGGGATTCGAACTTGGGTCTTCTACAAGAACAACCAGTGTTCTTAACGACTAGGCCATCTCTCCAGCCCTGAGAGAGAACATTTGTACCAGCTGGTTTCTCCTTTGTGCTCTTTGATCTCATTGAGGCCCTCTGCCTGGGATGGTGCCACTCACATTCAGGGCAGATCTTCCCTTCTTCACAGACTTGGCCAGGAGTGTGCTTTCACAGACTTTCTAGCCCCCCCACCCCTCACCCCCTCATCAGGCCTCACCCCTTTGCAGTCCTTTTCCCTGGATGCAGAGTTGATAGGAAAGCTGTGCTGTGACCTTGTAGTTCTCTTCCTCCTCTCAGCTTTGAGACGACCTTGAATTACAGCTTCACTATTAGCGCCTTGTGAGTTCTAGCCCTAGTCTAGGTCTTGTGTGGAGCTTGCCCATCCCAAAATATCGTAAGAGTCAGAAACTTCTTTTTCTTTTGGAACTGAAGGTCTGTGTCTGTGTCCTATTTCAGGGTCACGTCATGGCTACCTATGGCCATGAGCCCAGAGTTCTTGTAAAGGTTAATTCTGTGTCAGCCTTTATTTTACAAACTCTTTTATGTGTTACAACACTAAATGCTTCTCATTGTAAGCAAGCTAACAATCTGGATTAGCCATCACAATATTCAAACCATGTTGGGTTTAAGAGGACTTGTATGCAGATTTGGGAAAACGTTTCCCTGACTTGGAACGCACTGCACTTAAGCAGTGATGGAGTGACAAGCACCCAGACAGGCATTGTCACCAGTGGAGAGTGAAAGGAAGTGAGAGAGCCCTGGCTGGCCAAGGCTGTCTCAGGCTGAGCTGGAGGTGGAGCCAACAGAGGATGGGGTACTTCTTTTCTGACCTTTCCTTTCCACGTGGTGTTTTATTGTGCAAAATTTCAAATAAACGGCAAGGTAGAAAGACTATACTCACGCAGTCCTTGACATTCTACCTCTAATTCCCACTTGTTTCCTCACCCGTGTCCATCAGTCCATCTGAATTTTCGATGCATTTTAAATATTTATTATTTTAATTTTATGTGCATGAGTATATTGCCTGCACCTGTGTCGTGCAGTGCCGTGGAGGTCAGAAGAGGGCTTCGAATTCCCCTGGAACTGGAGTTAAGGATGGTTCGTAGCCGCCATGTGGGTGCTGGGAATCGAACCTGGGTCCTCTGCAAGAACAGTCAGTGCTCTTAACCACTGAGCCATCTCTCCAGCCCCTGGATGCATTTTAAAGTGAGCCACAGACAATACGCTACTCTTTAAAACTTCAACATGCATATTAGTAATTAGAATCCAGTATTTATTCAGGCTTTTTTCTTCGGATTTAAAATTTACATGCAGCGTGATGCACAAATCTTCACTCTTGAATACTGACAAGAGTATTGATAAATAACGTTTGCCTGTGTAAGCACAACCTCTGTGAAATACAGGACGCCATGAACATTTCCCCATGCTGCTCTCCAGGCAGCCATACCCCACCCCATGGGTCCCAGGGGCAACCTGGGCTCATGTTTTTCTCACCATCAGTTAGTTTTGCCTGACTAGAATGTCTTGTGAGTGGAGTCATTCAGTATGTACTTCTTTGTGCCTGGCTTCTTTCACGAAGTGTGGCGTTTCTGAGGTCCATCATATGGTGCTGATTAGTAGTTTGTCTGCTGTTGCTGCTGGTAGCGTTCTGCTTTATGGCTCCACTATTTTATGGCTTTACTGCTCGTGGCTTATGCTTTCTCCTCTTGGACACCTGGATTCTTTCCAGTGTTTGGCTGCTGAGAACATTTGTGCACAAGTCTTTGCGTAGATGTGTGGTTTCCTTTTTCTTGGGTAAATACCTAGCAATAGAATTGCTGGGTCATAGGGTAGATCTGTGTTTCAATTTTTAAGAAACAGTTACCCCGCCTTTTCCCAAAGTAATGATGTCAGTACATTTCCACCAGCAGCATATGAGAATTGTGGTCGTTTACTATACTTGGGGTTGTTAGTCTTGAGAATTTTAGTTATCTTGGGTGTGCTGTGACCCCAGCATGGTTTCAATGGATACTGAGTATGTTTTTGCATGTATTTTGGCCATTCATGTCTTGTGTGAAATTTTGGTTCACATCTCTGGCTGCATTTTTAAACTGAGTTGTTTGCTGACATGCATACAGAGAGTATACAGTTTTCTTTGGTTTTTGCTTGTGGATGCCTGCATGTTCCACAAAAGCACTTTAGAACCCAACCTCTTTGCTCTAGAGTATTATAGAATAACCAAATGTATTTTCATTTGACATGCCTTTTTAAGGATTAAAAAAAGATCTTAGGGGCTGGAGAGATGGCTCAGTGGTTAAGAACACTGACTGCTCTGGCAGAGGACCCAGGTTCAGTTCCCAGCACCCAACATGGTGGCTATGAACTGTCCTTAACTCCAGTTCCAGGGGAATCCGAAGCCCTCTTCTGACCTCCGCAGCACTGGACTGACACGGGTGCACTCACATACATGCAGGCAATACAGTCATACACATGAAATAAAAATAAACAAACAAACAAAAAAACGCTCTTTAGTCAGTGTGGTGCTGTGGAGGTCAGAAGAGGGCTTCGGGTTCCCCTGGAACTGGAGTTAAGGATGGTTCGTAGCTGCCATGTGGGTGCTGGGAATCGAACCTAGGTCCTCTACAAGAGCAGTCAGTGCTCTTAACCACTGTGTCATCTCTCCAGCCTGGGATGTTACCTTCTTAAGTAGGGAGCTAGAGCACAACATTGGGGAAAAAGGACTGGCCTAAGAGACATGATATAGGCTCCCAGATCTTAGGACGCTTATCTTAGAACAGTGTGAAAGGGGGTAATCATTTCTGCCTTGCCTGTCACATATGACTGCAATAATCAGATGACATCATGTATGTGACAAACCTTTACAAAGCTCCAGAGAAATATAAAGTACTAAGATTGAGAAGGCATGATCTTAAATTGATAGAGATGTTAACAGGATTGAAATGTCATAGGAAGAAGGCAAGCCATGCAGAATAAAACCTATTGCTGATCCTCGTGTAGCTCGGAATAGATGCACTGTGAAAGGAGGCGGGAGGGAACCTGTGTAACAAGAGTCGGGTCTCATGAACCGTCAGCCACACACAGGTGCCACACCTTGTCTCAGTTCCTTGTCTTCTTTTTTCCACTAAGATACAAGCGGAAAGGAGACTCCTGCCTGGGTATTAACCCTAAGAAGCAGTGTATATCTTGGGAAGGGGCTTCTGCAGCAAAGAGGCGCTCACACAAGCAACTGGAGCGTTATTTTACCAAGAAGAATGTGGGATTGATGAGCATCGATGGAATGGCTGTGAGCAGTAATGCTGAGCCTCTGTCCTCTGAGCCAGCCACCTTTATTCCAGTGAGGGACTCTGCTGATGTGGCTGTTCCTGGTACCACATGGTTGAATCCTCTGGGGATTTATGATCAGTCAACCACACAGTGGTTACAAGGACAGGGTCCAACAGAGCAAGAATCCAAGCAGCCAGACTCACAAGAAGACAGGGAGAGAGCTGTTCTTAAGGCCAGAGTAGAGGAGTTTAACAGAAAGGTTCGGGAGAATCCTCGGGACACTCAGCTGTGGATGGCATTTGTGGCTTTTCAGGTAAGTGTCACTGTCCTGGTTCTTAGAATGGTGTTTCTGATTTAGGGCTGAGCCATTTATTCTGCAGGGTCTCTGTTGCCCAGGGTGGGCTTGAACTTGCCATTTTCCTTCCTCTGCCTCTTAGGTGTTGGGATCATAGGTATGCAGTACCATGTGTGGTCCCGTAGCCCTTTTTGAACTTCTCTGACTAGTCCTGGCACTGACTTCTCCTTAGGTTAGTGTTTGTCCTGAGCTTGCTCACAGTCCAGTGAGGAAGGCTGATGTGAGGAATAAGTGCAGCATGGAGTACACGTAGTACCTGGGAATGGAACAAAACTGGAGTAGGATATTTATTTTTGGAGGAGAGGTCCTCACACCTGCTAGATAAGCAGCGTACCACTGATTAAGACCTCCTAGGAACAGAATTTGGAGAGAAAAGGGGTGGTATTAGGCAAGGTGAGGTCCTCTCAGACCACACAGGTAACGGGCACAGAGTTGTAAGTGGTCGGGGCTGCTCACGGTTACCTGGTTAGAGGTGTGTGCTCCCTTCTTACATAGGATTGTTTTTGTCGTTCATTTTCAGCCACTCATAACAGTTAATAGACTTGGGCTGTTTTATTGGTAAAGTTAGCTCTTACCTTTATAAAGCACTGTTTGCTAGTTATTCTTGTGTAAATCCATGCGAAGAACAGGGTGGGAAATGGGGAGATGACTGTTTAAGAGCACTTGCTATGCGATCATGAGGACTAGACATTAGCTCCCAGCACCCATAGAACAAAGCTGGCACTCCTAGCATACCTGTTACTCTGTCTTTGAGAAGGGGTAGAGATAGGCATCCCTGTGGGGCTTGTTGGCTTCCAGCCTAGCCAAGAAAATGTAAGCCTCAAGGTTCAGGGAGAGACTCTGTGTCAAGGAAATACGGCCGAGAGTGATAAAGGAGGACACCTGACGCCCTCTTCTGGCCTCTAAGTGCATGCAGGCATGCATACTTGCACACACAATGTGCACATACACACACATAAATAATAAATCTTTAGAAAAAGAATGACAGGACACAGTTCTGTGAGGTGAAATAAAGACAAAACATGCTAGGCGTCACAGACACCTAGGAACTGTGTGTTTACTAAATGTAGTTGTAGTAAGTTAGAGGCCATCAACAAAGTTTTCCTAAGAGTTCATTTTGAAAGGCTCAAAACCCATTGGGAGTGTAGTGCACTGCCGAAACCTAGGAGCACATGGGTCTGTTTGATCAGTAAGCTGGTGTGTTTGCTGTTGAGGACGAGGTGATGAGGAGCCCTGGCCTGTATGCCCTTGAGGAAGGCGAGCAGGAGTGGCGGAAGAAGTCCCTGAAGCTCCTCCTGGAGAAGAAGCTGGCAGTGCTGGAGCGGGCCATTGAGAGCAACCCGAGCAGCATGGACCTGAAGCTGGCCAAGCTGAAGCTCTGCGCTGAGTTCTGGGAGCCCTCCATGCTTGTCAAGGAGTGGCAGAAACTGATCTTCTTACACCCCAATAACACAGCCCTGTGGCAGAAATATCTTTTGTTTTGCCAGAGCCAGTTCAGCACCTTTTCAATATCAAAAATTCACAGTTTGTATGGCAAATGCTTGAGCACTTTATCTGCCGTGAGGGATGGCAGCATCTTGTCTCACCCTGCGGAGCCTGGCACGGAAGACGCCATGTTTGGTAAGGAGAGAAGTCTGGTTGTGTGGGAGGGGTTTTATTTTTGTTTGTCTTTAGGTTTATTTTAGAAAAGTCTAAGTTCTTAGAACAGATTTTTTTAAGTGTTATGACTCTTGTTAATTTAAGACTCCCCTCCAGCTCACAGGGGGTGGTAGGAGTGTTAGAGCCAGCCAGAGTTAGGACAGTAGGACTGGTAAGAAGTTCCACCAAGTGGACAGGCTCCAATCTCTTATCTACTTTGGCTGCCGGTGACTTTACGTGCAGAGACCTCCAGTTACAGAGTCTCTGGCAGTGAGGTATGTGAGATGCTCTGCTTACTACATACATGTAAATGACTGGAATGGTCTTGCTCTTAATGTTTTTGGTGTGTCCCCAAGAAGCCTGATGGATTACAGGAGCCAGCCTGCATTGTGCGGTAGCTGGAGAGTGCCACTCTTCAGCTCAAGGCCTGGATTGTCCTTTGGCTCTGGTGTGATACTGGGTAGATTCCTGACCTGTTCAAGCATGTTTCTTCATCAGAAACAATAGGATTAACATGTGCCTGCCAGGACTATAGTACACGTTAAGTGACATAATATATGATGAGCCTGTTCCATGTGTGGCACATGATAAGCGTGATTAAGTATTACCATTTCCATATAGACACATAAAGAGATTGCTGTACAAATAATAAGCATTTACTGCACTGACATAAAGGGTCTTGTATTTGGGGCTGGAGGGTATAGCTCAGTGGTGGGGTATATACTCAACATACATGAGGCCCCAGGTTTAATCCCTAGCACCAAAAATAAAATGTATGACACAGAATTTTTTGTTGTTGTTGATACTTGAAACAGGGTCTTCCTATAGCCCCAGCTGGCCTGGAACTTAATATGTAGACCAGGTTGGCCTAGATCTCATAGAGATCCACCTGCCTCTTGCCTCCTGAGTGCTGGAATTAAAGGCTTGTGCCACCATGCCTGGCAGAATTTGTATGTAAGTATGTATTTATTTATTTTTTATAAAATAAGCCGGGCATGGTGGTGCGTGTCTTTTTTTAAAAAAAAATTTTATTTATTATTTTTATTTTATGTGTATACATGTATTACCTGCATGTAGGTAAGTGCACCCATGTTGTGCAATGCCTGCAGAAGACAGAAGAGGCTGTCGGATCCCCTGGAACTGGAGTTACGGACAGTTGTTAGCTGCCATGTGGGTGCTGGGATTCAAACCCTGGTCTTCTGCAAGAACAGCCAGTGTTCTTAACCACTGAGTCATCTCTCCAGCCCCCCACAATTTGTTTTTAAAGAGTCTCATATTTGATATTGTTTGTAATGCACTTACATATCTTAGTGCTATTTAATAAATGGGATTATACCACTTTTTTTTTTTTGGTCTTTTTGAAACAGGGTTGGAACTCACTACGTAGACCAGGCTGGCCTTGAACTCACAGAGATCCACCTGCCTATGCCTCCCAAGTGCTGGTGGGATTAAAGGCATGTGCCACCACACCCAGCCTAGGATTATACCTCTATTAAGATGAGCCTAACATGCCAAGTGAGGAATCTTGGTTTGAACTACTGTGAGAATTGCTGGTAGATAATGCCATCTAGTGACAGTTGAGTAGATTGAGTTCTGATCTTCGTCTCATAGAAATGGATGACATTGCTTTTCTACCATTGCTCTTGTAGCAGTGAGCTTTGACTATTTGACAGCTAACAATCTTCTGCCTTATTTTTTAGATTATATAGTTATTGTTAATATTGTATTCTGTGGTAGTTTCATGCAAATATTAGAACAACAGTATTAGGATTGCAGCACTGTTTTTATCCTTTTGACTCCAGACATTGGCTATATGACAGTGGTTTCTGGGTGTCCAGTTGCATGTTGAGAAGTCACATTTTCTGCCTTTGTGGTGTCAACAGAGCACTCTCCCTTTCGCTCTCCTGTTCGCAGTGCTCTTTCTTCAGCAGTGCCACTTTCTGCGGCAGGCTGGCCACTCGGAGAAGGTCATCTCTTTGTTCCAAGCCATGGTTGACTTCACCTTCTTCAAGCCTGACAGTGTGAAAGAGCTGCCTACTAAAGTACAGGTACTGGGCTCTGCTGGCATGTTTTCTCTCTCTCTCTCTCTCTCTCTCTCTCTCTCTCTCTCTCTCTGTCTCGCTCTCACTTTCCCTCTCTCCCTCCCCTTTCTCTCTCTCTCTCAGAAATATTCCAGTGAACCAAGAAAAGTTCCTTCATGAAAGTAGTGGACATATCTGATAGATGAAAGAGGATTCTCTCCTATTCTATCCTTCCTCCCACGGTTAAAAATTCACTGATAGCCTTCCTTTTCTCCTCCCTCCCTTCCTCCCTCCCTCCCTCCCTCCCCTTGTTTAAATGCAGGGTTATCCTCACAGTCATTATGCCATTTAAAGAATTTCTTTGATATATTTATTTTTATTTTATGTATATGAGTATTTGCCTCCATGTATGTAAGGGTACCACATGCAGTCCCTGTGGAGGTCATAAGAGGGCATCATGTCCCTTGGAACTGGAGTTTAGAATGATTGTTAGCTGCTATGTGGGTGCTAGGAACAGAACCTGGGTCCTCTGCAAGAGCTCCTAACCACTGAACCATCTCTCCAGCCCCTTCATGCCATTTTAAGGCACATGTCACTCTCTCTAAGTCTTGTCTGGGTCTTGCCTTGCTACCTTTCCATAGCCTAAAATCTGTTTGAATTGTGAATGGAATTAAATTGTTATATGAAATTATAACAATCCTCATCAAGTAGGGGTTCATCTTTTAGGTGACAAGAAAACATTGCCAGTGTTTATTATATGAGGTGACAAAATGAGCTATGTGTATGCGGGAAACAATCCTTTCCATTTTTCTACTGTAGAAAACTGCTTTCTGCATTGTGAAAGGTTCTCGGGGAAGATGGAGAGACTGTCTGAATTTATGGTGACCTTTTTTTTGAGACAGTTCTCCCTGTAGCCCCAGCTGGCTTTGACCTCACAGAGATCCACCTGCCTTTGCCTCCTGACTGCTGAAATTTAAAGGTGTGCCCCATTGCACCTGGTTATGAGCTGTATTTTTGAGAAGCTAAGGGTTGTCATCATGAATTGCCAGTAAAGACCATTTTTGTCATGGTGCTGTGCTACCTTTAGACAAAGTTAGGTTAAAGAATTACACCTGTTAATATTATGTAGTCAATTGCTTATAAGCTATACAAAGCAATGTTAAGATGTGCTTTGGTATTTTAAGAATATGTCATCCTTCAGCAGTGACCCCAATCGACTATAAAGCTACAGTAGGTCAGATCTGAGACCTCCTATCCCTGTCCTTCTGTTGAGCCTCTTGGTCTGTGATGAGAACAGTTATTGGTGGAAAGGTACTGTTTACAACTGTGGTATTTCAAGAACCACTGCTCTGCAGTGTCAGAGCCCCTGATCCATGGTGCCGAGCTGTTAAATACAAATGGCACACATGTTTCTGAAGCATTTACACACCAACATCAAAATAAAGCTGCCTAACAACATTCCATATTGCCTGAGAGATGCTGTTACCATAAACACAAATAACATAACACAGAACAGTCTAGTGTCACTGATCTGCTTCTGAGGAATAAAGAAATTGGTTGTAAACATTGTACTATTTTAAAAATTGTTTTTTCTTGAATGTATCTTCTAAATTGTTTTGGCAGTACGGCCTGACTCTAGGCTCCACCCTTGACAGGCAGTGATGCACTTCTTTCTGTCACTCTTACAAGAGCTGACCAGTCCATTTCTTGAGGCTGACTGGCCATTGCTTGGCATCCAAAGCCCATGTCGACATACTCTGCCCTACGGTGACTCTCACAAGGATTGCACTTCTCCAGGCGTGTGTGTGGAGTGCCCAGGCTCCAGCTACATGATCCTGTGACTGTCAGTCTATGATGTACCCTTAGGAAACTTGCTTGTCTTAAAAAAGTTTCTCCAAAAAGCTTTTGTGAGAGTAGATTGTTGGTTAACTTTTTAAGATGTATTTTTTTTATGTATTTTTATTTTATGTGTTATGTTTTGCCTGCATGTATGTGTGCCATGTGTGTGTAATACCCATGGAAGCTAGAAGACGGTGTCACATCCCCTGGAACTAGTTACAGATGGTTATTAGCTGCCACGTGTGTGCTGGGAACAGAACCCAGGTCTTCTGCAAGAGCAGCCAGTGCTCTTAACCACTTCACTGAGCTATTTCTCCAGACCCTGTTGGCTAATTTTTTTTTTTTTTTTTTTTGGTTTTTTTTTTGAGACAGGGTAGCCCCAGCTGGTCTGGAACTCACTAAGTACACCAGGCTGATCTCAGTCTCACAAAGATCAGCCTGCCTCTGCCTCTGCCTCCTGAGTGTTGGCATTAAAGATGTGCAACAGCACACCCTGCTGGTGGCTAACTTTTAAAGTCCTGTTGCTAGTTGATAACATAGTCCTGCTCAATCTGTTCTTGGGGGATGGTTTGCTGCCTCTGGGAGCTGATTTCCACACTGCAGATCTAATGACAGAGTGATGGAAGAGGGCCTCATGGGGCCAGGCTTTCATAATGCACATGGCTTTATTCAGTGGCTACCTCCCTTCTACATGTCAGTGCCCAAAGCATTTACTGAGTTCCTATTATGTGTTGAGCACTGTGCCAGGTGTTAGGAAGAAACAGTTACCTAAGATGTAGTTGTCCCCTCAAGAGCTGTCTGTTCTGTTGAAATTTTAAATTCCTTTTCTTTCAAAATGTCTTGAAAGCAACATGACTTGAGGTCATCAGTGGCTATGATGGTACTAGAGGAACGGAGTGAGACTGCCCTCAGGATCAGAACTTGGAAATGAGTCCTTTCCTACCTAGCTGTAGGCCCTGGTCACCAGACCTTTATTAGTCTTATAACCTGACCTCCAACAGGTCATTCTTTTGCCCTTACCATATTTGATGCCAACACTCAAGTGTGCGTACTATGGCAGAGGTAGAGTGATGGGGGCCATCGTGGAGGCTGCCTGCACACTGAATAATTGATTTTCCTGTTCTGTGGTGTGTATCAGGTACAGACTTAAACACTGACAATGAACATGGTTTTAGGGATCCCTGGTTCCCCTGATACCCACCAGTGCTTATTCTGCCTAATGGTTCTGCAGTTATGACGTGGTAGTCCTAACTTTCATTTTTTAAACCTGAACAGGTAGAATTCTTTGAACCCTTCTGGGATAGTGGTGAGCCCCGGGCTGGGGAGAAGGGAGCCCGAGGCTGGCGAGCATGGATGCACCAGCAGGAGCGGGGTGGCTGGGTGGTCGTCAACCAAGGTAAGCTACCTCTCGGTAAATAGAGGTATGCCTTTTTCTTCTGGGTTTGTTTTTCCATCTTCATGAGTGTTTCTCTGTATGAGCTGTTTATCGGCTGCTTAAGAACATTGTATAAACATCAAGATGTCGAAAGTACATAATGTGAACATCATGGCAGAATAAACTGTCTTTCCTTGGAGGCTATGAACACTCCCATTCTCCCAGGATGCAGTGCTCAGAGGGTCTGTGTACTTCCAGGGGAAGGGCTTTTCTGAGCTGCTCCCTCCTCTGCTGCCCATTTTTTACAAGGCAGTCTTTCTGTTCTTTTGGTAATGTTCAGACTAACAGTTCTTTGAAAAATTCTTGTCTCTTTAGGAAGATTACAAAACAATTATTACTGGCAGTTGTGATTGTCATTCTGCCTGACAGCGAAGTGCTGTCTAGTTGTACACTCCTAGCATAGAGCTAACCAACAGAAAGAGAACGCAAACCTCATCTCTGCTGCAGATCTTGTAGTCACAATTGAAACAGTAAGAAGAGGGCTGTGAACATGGGTATGCAATAACTGAGTCTTTTTCAGTTCTTTTGAGTATATATTCAGAAGTAGAATTGCCCAATTGTGATAATTCTTTAATTCCTTGAACTACCTTACTGTTTTTTTATTATGACTAGCACCATTTTATATCCCACCACCGGTGCCCAAGGGGTCCAGTTTCTCCACATCCTCCACAGTGCTTGTTTTCTGTGTAACTTCTGGAGAGACACTCATTTAGGACAAGTCTCCCAAGATCCTCTATTGTTGCTTGTGTCAGTAGTTGGTTCACCTCCATGCTGAGCAGTAGTTTAGATAAGCCACAGCTTCTTTATTCAGCTGCTCTGGGAATCTGGGCCGTTTTATTTTGGTAGGTGTTATAAGGCTACTCTGAGCATGAATATAGTTTTTTAAAAAAAATGTATTTTTCTTTATTATTTTTATTTTATGAGTGTGTTGCCTGCATGTATGTGAGTGCACCCATGTCGTGCAATGCCGCGGAGGTCAGAAGAGGGTGTCGGATTCCCCTGGAACTGGAGTTAAGGACGGTTCGTAGCCACCATGTGGTGCTAGGAATCGAACCTAGGTCCTCTGCAAGAGCAGTCAGTGCTCTTAACCGCTGAGCCATCTGTCCAGCCCCATGAATATAGTTTTTTTGTGTGTGAACCTAGGTTTTCATCTTTCTGTAATTCTGATAGGTGTCTGTTAGTTTTATAAGCAACCGCTAAACTCCATGTGTGGTTGTTCCATTTTTTTAATGACATTTTTACTTTTTAATACCGAGCTTTGCAGGCAACTGTGACTGCTTTCATTCTGCGTGGTAAAACTTAGGAAACAAAATGAAATAAATTATTGGATAAGTCAGAATGAATTATAAAGCCACTGACTAAAAGTCTGGATGGGTTAAGGAAATCTAAACCAGTGCTGTCATTAAATTCTATTTAGTCTGTGTTGTCCAAAACAATGACTTCTAGCTACGTTTTATTCTTAAAGGGAATTTAAGTGAAACAAAATTAAGAATTCAATTCCTTTATTAATAGGCTGCATTCAGTGCCCAGTAAGTCACCTGAAGCTTGTGGCGATGATATTAACACAGACTGTTTCCATCATCTCAGGAAGTTCTTTTGGACATTGTTGCTCTAGAATGCCATTCCTTCTTCATGTAATAGCATTAAAAAATCGTCTCTTTCCATCCTTTATCTGCCTGTTTTTCCTGATCCTCCCTGCTTATAGGAGAGGCCGTGAGCCAGGGAGGTGGCATGGCTGATCCATTTGCATGCCTCATGCCCACCTGTACCTGGCACAGCAGGCTGATGGATATTGGTGATGGTTTTATTTACTGCTCTGGTGAACTAGATGTTCCATTCTTGCCTAGACGAGGATGATGATGAGCCAGAAGAGGAAGAACAGGAGATAAAAGACAAGACTCTGCCCAGGTGGCAGATCTGGCTTGCTGCTGAACGTTCTCGAGACCAGAGGCACTGGCAGCCTTGGTGTCCTGATAAGACCAAGAAGCAAACTGAGGATGACTGTGAGGATCCTGAGAGACAGGCATGTACCCTTCACCACAGTAAGAAGCTGACTGTGGGTCTTTGCCCCCATCACATTCCTATTGTATCTGGCTGTCTGAAAGGAGGACTCCCTAGCACCTGGCCAGCTAAGGAAGTGGACTCCTGCTCTGGCCTGTGTCTCAGAAAACTTCATTCTTGCCAGTATCAGGGCAGAAGTTCATTGACTGCTGGTTATGGGGGAGAAGATGGTATTTGGCCAGATAGATATTTTGCTTTGAGGGATGGTAAGGTCTCATGGTCACCCCTCTAGAGGTTGCCTTCCAGATCATTTAATTAATTTTTTATGTGGCACTCCATGGTTCTAAAAACTCTATTACTGTCCTAGATTCTTTAATTGTGTCTACTCCCTACCTCACTCTTGGATCCATGGAGATGTAGCAGGTAGATCTGACTCTGAAGGACAGGAGACAGGATGGAAAAGCCATTGGGACAGTTTGCATGTGCTTTTTTTAAACAAAAAGATACATACTTGTGTGTGCGTGTATGTGTGTTTCAGTATATACTCACATGCGATGTGCCTATGCACATACATAGAGGCCAGGAGAGGGTGTCAGGTGTCCTCCTCTCACTTTCCACTTACTCCTTTGAGGCAGAGTCTCGCCCTAAACCTGGGGCTCACATTTTCTGGGCTAGGCTAGAAGCCAGCAAACACCAGTGGTCCTTACGTCATTACCTTTGGACCTGGGGTTACAGGCATGTGCAGATGCCTGGCTTGTTTTGTGGGGGCTGAGAGAGAGAATCTCTGGTCCTCATGATGGCAAACCAAGTGCTCTTAACTCCTGAGCCATCTCTCCAGCACCCACATCCCCATGTACTTCATCTTAATGGAGAAGTAGCTAGTGCTGACCCTCATGTCATTAAGGGATTTGATACCTCTTGCTGTTTGGTGGCTGGCATCTCTGGAGATTTTAAGTTAAAATGAAGAAGTACTGCTGTGAGTCTGGAACTGATCCAGTTTCACAAGATTTCAGTTCTGTTGTGTGGTGTATTAGGTGTTGTGTGTATGGATATGAGGTTTTTTTCAGTAGTGAGGCTCTATGGCCCACCGTGCAGGTGAGGTGCCTTGAGGGGTGGGTTGCCTGTTTGTTGCCTGTCACATGGGCCTACATGCTTGTCCCATGGTGAGTGCGCAGGTGTGGATGTTATAGGGCTGTCTGGTGCTTGAAGGACCAGAGTGCTGGTAGCATTTGAGGTGGTGGTACAAGGAGTGGCCAGACTAGAGTTAGACACAGAAGGGTGGGCCAGAAGCAGCAGCAACCAGGGAAACCTCAGGAGACCTGTTGGGAGGAGGAGACTGCCTGAGAGGCTTCTGTTCACAATCAACTTTTTTTTTTTTGTCTTTTTTTTGAGGCAGGGTCCCCCTGTAGCCCCAGCTGTCCTGGAACTCATTATGTAGACCAGGCTGGCCTTGAACTCACAGAGATCCACCTGCCTCTGCCTCCCAAGTGCTTGGATTAAAGGCGTGTACTACCACGCCTGACCACAATCAACTTTAAAAAAAAATGTTATTTCTATTTCTCTTCTATGCATATGAGGGTATTGCCTGCATGTGTCTAAGTGCACCTGTCTTGTGCAGTGCCCGAGGAAGTCAGAAGAAGGCATCGGATCCCCTATGCCTAGAACTAGAGTTATGAACATTTGTTAGCTGCCGTGTGGGTGCTGGAAATCAAACCTGGGTCCTCTACAAGAGCAGCTGGTGCTCTTAACCTCTGAGCCATCTCTCCAGCCCCAACTCAGTCAACCTTTTTAAAGCTAGTTCTCAAGGCTCAGAATTCCACCTGTCTCGTAGAAGTTCATTTCTGGAGCAGACTGCATGAGCAACTTCTTATCCTTTACTGTTTTCTGTAATCAAAGCCCAAGAGATTAAAAAAAAAAAAGCTTCAGATTAATTGATGCTGGAGTTCCAGTGGTCCAGTTTTAGTGTGTTTGCTCCTGACTTCCTCTGCTGAGAGGCAAGGGGCTGATCAGGAAGAGCACCTTGAGACCTTCGGTAGTGCCCTTGGAGGGTGGGGGCTTGCAGTTGGCTATGAGCATTTCCTGTATCTCGGGCTCTAATGGCTCCCTATTTGGTCCATTGCTCCTGTTGTCTCCTTTTTACCATGAACTTATTTATGTCTTCAAGCAGTTTTCATTCTGAAGTACATTTGTGGAAATAAACCACAGGTGATGTCTTCTATCCTAAAATCAAAAGTTTTCATAATTGTAATTTGCTAGAGTAACTACAAAGCAATTCGTTTGCTTTCTGAAGTGAATGTGATTCTAGATCTTCTGTGACCCCAGCAGGGTGCTATGGAAGTGTTTGGCTTTCTGCCCTCACAGTATCCCTGGGTGTGTGAACATGCTCAGGCGCCTTCAGGCTGCTGCTAGTTGTTCTGCCCCTGCTGCCCTGGGAGACCATTTGCCTTTTTGTGTTTTGCAGAAAACTTTGCTACTATTTATTTAAAATTTATTTTTATGTTTTTGGGGTTTTTTTTGAGACAGGGTTTCCTTGTAGCCCCAGCTGGCGCAGAACTCGTTATGTAGACCAGGCTGGCCTTGACCTCACAGATTTGCCTGCCTCTGCCTCCTGAGTCCTGGGACTAAAAGCCCTGGGACTAAAGCCACCATGCCTGGCTGCTTTAAAATGTATTTTAATTTAAATAATATTGTTAGTACATCCATATGAAGAGCTGGGAAAATTGTCACAGCTTTTGCGCATTTCATCAACTGCATCTCGCCTTGGTTGCAGGTGTTGTTTGACGATATAGGACAGTCTCTGATCAGACTTTGCAGCCCAGATCTTCAGTTCCAGCTGATCGAGGCCTTTCTGCAGTTCTTGGGTGTGCCTTCTGGCTTCCTTCCTCCAGCCTCCTGCCTTTACCTGGCCATGGACGAGAGCAGTGTCTTTGATAGTGGACTCTATGATGAAAAGCCCTTGACTTTCTTCGACCCTTCCTTTTCTGGCATCAGCTGTGTTGGCCACATGAATCAGCTGGGTTGTCCTCGATGGACCAGGGGTCACAACCGAGAGGGCGAGGAGTTTGTCCGCAACATCTTCCACCTTGTGCTGCCTTTGTTCTCAGGCAGGCGGAAGTCCCAGCTCTGCTTCTCCTGGTTACGGTACGAGATTGCCAAGGTAACTCCATCTGCCTCCTCCATTCATTTGGGACCTTTTCATTTCATGTCAGTGTTTCACAAGGGATTGCAGGGCCCCGAATGCCCCTCTAGAAACTATCACAGACCTTCCTTTGTGACTCTTGAAGGCACCTCAGGTGTGGCTGTCCCCGGAAGAAACTGCAGGAACAGGAGGAAAACAGGTGACAGTCCAGCACTCAGTGACCAGAGCTGTCTGTTGTCTGTGATTAGGCAGTTAGTGTTAAGAACCAGTGTAAGCTTAAGCAAGGTGAGAGGATTTAGGGCTTATTAGGACAGAGAAAATAAGCTCCTTACCCTCTGCTTTATAGCCATCTGTTCAATGAGTCTCCAGCCATTGTTCTGCCCTCTGCTGGCCAATATTAATATTGACTTTTGGATAATGTGTTTTCAATTTGTTTAAAAAATTCTTTGGTAGGGCCCGGCGTGGTGGCGCACACCTTTAATCCCAGCGCTTGGGAGGCAGAGACAGGAGGATCTCAGTGAGTTCAAGGCCAGCCTGGTCTACATAGTGAGTTCCAGGACAGCTGGGGCTACAGGGAGACCCTGTCTCAAAAGACCAAAAAAAAAAAAAAACAAAAATTCTTTGGTAATTTCATACATAAATGCAGTGTATTTAGGTCATATCCACTTTCCCTCTTCCAATTCCTTCTAGACCCCACCCCCATCCTGCTTCCAATTTCATGTCTTCTTCTTAAAAAAAATGTAAGTTTTAAAACTACAGGCTACACACACCCGGTTGTATTAAAGTAATGTCTTGAAAAGTGTCATTTACTGGATTAGTTATTAGAAATGTGAAATAGAGATTTCAACAGAAAATCTGTATATGTGAATGTTGGCACCTGTGGCCTTGGTAAAATCTGCCCCCCGCCCCCCCCCCCCGCCCCAGGAGCCTTGGTGTTTACCAAACGTGGCAAAGGAAATGTGCATTGCTGGTGCTTTCTGAAGTTGACAGCTCGCAATGCTCAGAGCTGTTCTTTTCTTTTTGCCTATAGGTCATTTGGTGTCTGCACACTAAAAAGAAGAAATTAAAGTCGCAGGGGAAGAACTGCAAAAAACTAGCCAAGAATCTCCTCAAGGAGCCAGAAAACCGAAACAACTTTTGCCTCTGGAAGCAGTATGCATACCTGGAGTGGTTGCTTGGTAACATAGAGGATGCCAGAAAAGTGTTTGATACAGCACTCAGCATGGCAGGCAGCAGTGAGCTGAAGGACCGAGAACTCTGTGAACTTGGTCTGCTCTATGCCGAGCTGGAGGTGGAAGTGTCACCGGACTTGCGAGGGGCTGCCACAGGCCGAGCAGTCCACATACTAACTCGGCTGACTGAGAACAGTCCCTATGGGTCCTACACTGGGCAGGTCTTGGCTACTCATGTTCTGAAAGCCCGAAAGGCTTATGACCACGCGCTGCAGGACTGTCTGGGTGCGAGCGGTGCCTCTGGCCCGGCTCCTGCAGAGTCTTTGGACTGCCTGAGCAGCTTGGTCAAATGCTTTATGCTCTTCCAGTATTTGACTGTAGGGATCGATGCTGCTGTGCAGATTTATGAGCAGGTATTTGCCAACCTGAAGGGCTCTGTTCTCCCAGAAGGCCCTGGGGAGGAGAACTCCCAGAGTTTGACCAGCGTTCTCGAAGCAGTCACCCTGATGCACACAAGTCTGCTGAGATTCCACATGAAAGTTAGCCCTTACCCTCTAACTCCACTTCGAGAGACGCTCTCGGAGGCTTTAAAGCTCTATCCAGGCAATCAGGTTCTTTGGAGGGCATATGTACAGATTCAGAGTAAGTCCCATAGTGCTAACAAGACCAGAAGATTCTTTGATGCAGTCACCAGGTCTGCCAAACCCTTGGAGCCTTGGTTGTTTGCAATTGAAGCTGAGAAAATGAGGAAAAGCCTGGTGGAAGCTGTTCAGAGGTAATCACCAGCCATGGGCTTCACAGAACATTAGGGGATGGGTGTTGTGTTTCCAGCCCCTTGCCAGGTCTCAGGCATGCCAAAGTGGTTATGGCACATGGCCAGGAACACCAGCTGTGGATGCATCAGATATCAAATAATACTGAAAAATGAGTAAGGCACTTAGATAGCAGTGCATTCCTCATTAGAACCTTTGGTGGCTGTCTTTCTGGGCCAGGCTTTTTGAACCTGACTTTTGCTTCTTATGTGCAACTGACAGTCTGTCAGTGTCTGCAGAGCTGTAATGAGAGAATGGGTAAGAACACAGGCTTTAGAGGTCAGCTCTGATTCCAGTGCCAGCTGTGCCACTTAGCAACTGGCATGACACTTAGCTCACAGGTTCCTTTTCTGTCCTATGGGAATAATGAAAAGAACTGACCTCATAGAGGTGCTCTGGAGGTTCAGTGCAGTAAGTGCTTGGCATTAAAAACAGTGCACAGTACCATTGCGAATGGTGGTGTGTTTTCAAATTTGTTAAGTTTTAAAACATTTTATTTTTTTTATTTTATGTGTATGAGTGTATTGCCTGCATATATATAAGTGCACTTGTGTCATGCAATGCCTGTGGAGGTCAGAACAGAGCATTGGATCCCCTGGAACTGGAGTTACAGACAGTTGTTAGCCACCATGTGGGTGCTGGGAACTGAACCCAGCAGCCGGTGCTCTTAACTGCTGAGCCATCTCTGCAGCCCCAGATCTGTCATGTTTTGGTGCAGTATAATCACCTCTGGAGGCTAAGTGGTCATTCTGGGAACATGTCAGCTTAGCCATCATTGGTCCTTCTGGAATATTTGCTGTTATTTCACTTGAACCTTACAAATTAGGCAGAATTGCTTTTGAATAGTATTTCATTTTGCTTGCCTTTTATTTCTTCCATTGACATTTTATTCATGCCACCTGACTCCTACTTTAAATTGAAGGTCTTTTCTTTCCTGGGGGTGGATTTTTGCATTCTGCTTACAGGGTAGGTTTGTGCATGACTCCTGGACAGGCTTGTGTTGGTGCAGAAACCACAGAATCTGGGTCGCCACCTTGCTCAGTGCTTTGGAGATGCCATGTCATACCTGTACCTGCTGCCAACCTGCTCACGCCTGGGGAACAGGACTTCTCTGACACACTGATAGTTACTACTGACCTTTGTCATTGGTGAAGCACCCCTTCCTGCTGTGATGTTGGGGACAGGATTTGTCTCAGTTACTGAGTCCTTGTCTTACAGGGTAGGTGGTAGAGAGATCCATGCTACCATCCCTGAGACTGGCCTTACTCATCGGATCAGAGCCCTGTTTGAAAATGCAATTCGGACTGATAAGGGCAGCCAGTGCCCCTTACTGTGGAGGATGTATATGCATTTTTTGGTAAGAAAATACTGTGACTCTGCTTTTGTTTTGCCAAAGCTTCCTAAGTGGAACAATGAAGGTTGTTGCCTGAGAAAGCTAAGAGGACCTTATTTTTACTCCCATGCTTTGGCATTGGTTAGTCCTTATGGGAGCTCAGTTGAATAATGTCTCCTTTCTCAGGACTTGGGAGTCGGTGGGTCACAGGTTGTATTTACTCAAGATTTGGTAGAATGAAATTCAAGTGATTTCTGGACTTTTTGGTGCAGTAGAGCTTAATGTTGATTTCTCTGAATTGACTTCATTAAGTTAGCAGTTTGGGAAAGGGTCAAAGAGCTTTTATTTGAAAGAAGTTTAAATTCTTTATCATTCTACTCACAAGAATGTCCTGGTCATGACTCTGTTTTCTTATTAAAAGATAAGATTCAGTCAAGAATGAGGTTTTTTTTTTTTTTTTTTTTTGGCTAGCCATGTAGGTCAGTGGTACAGTGTTCTCTGAGCATACCCAAGGCCCTGAGTTCAATCTCTAGCACCACCAGAAAGAGGAAGACAACTGGCTTAGAATTTAGACATCATCTGTGCCTTTGCTAGTCTCTGCAGGGAGCCCTGTACCATGTTACCTCAGGACAGCCCTTCATTGGTGCTTACAGAAAATGAGTACATTCTTAGGTGCTGAAGTTGGTGTGAAACGTGAATTATCAGCTGGGCATGGTGGTGCATGCCTTTAATCCCAGCACTCAGGAGGCAGAGGGAGGTGGATCTCTGAGTTAAGGCCAACCTGGTCTATATGGCCAGCTTCAGGCCACCTAGGACTATACAGTGAGACCTTGTCAGGAAAAAACAAAAAGCTCCA